GACTGGAGGATAGCTCACATAACATCAATTTTTAAGGTTTCAGAGTAGCAGCCGTGTTAGTCTGTATCCGCAAAAAGAACAGGAGTACTTGTGGCACCTTAGAGACTAACAAATTTATTAGAGCATAAGCTTTCGGCTGTAGTCCACGAAAGCTTATGCTCTAATAAATTTGTTAGTGTCTAAGGTGCCACAAGTACTCCTGTTCTTTTATCAATTTTTAAAAAGGCTCCAGAGGTAATCTTGGCAATTGCCAACCAGTAAGCCTAAACTTCAGTACCAGGCAAACTGGTTGAAACTATAGTAAAGAACAGAATTATCAGACACACACAGATAAACACAATTTGTTGGGGAAGAGTCAACAAGTGTTCTGTAAACAGAAACCATAGCTCACCAATCTACTAGCATTCTTTGGGGGGGTCAACAAGCATGTGAACAAGGGTGATCCAGTGGATGTAGTGAACTTGGACTTTCAGAAAGCCTTTGACAAGGTCCCTCACCAAAGACTCTTAAGCAAAGCATGCAGTCATAGGATAAGAGGGAATGACCTCTTAAGGATCAATAACTAGTGAAAAGATAGGACACAAAAGGTCAGAATAAATGGTCAGTTTTCACAAAGGAAAGAGGTAAATAATGGGGTCCCCTAAGCATCTGTAATGGGACCTCTGCTGTTCAAAACATTCATAAATCATCTGGAAAAGGGGTAAATAGTGAGGTGGCACAGTTTGCAGAAGATACTGAACTACTTAAGATAGTTCAATCCAAAACTGACAAAAAATGACAATGGAATCTCAAAAAACTGGGCAACCAAATGGCAGATAAAATTCAATGTTGATAAATGCAAAGTAATGCACACTGGAAAAATGAATCCTAATTATACATTCAAACTGATGGGATCTAAATTAGCTATTACCACTCAAGAAAGATCTTGGAGTCACTGTGAATAGTTGTCTAAAAGAATCTCCCCAATGAACAGTGGCAGTCAAAAAAAGCTAATAATATTAGGAACCATTAGGTAAAGGCTACAAAAGAAAATATAATGCCACCATAGAAATCTGTAGTACACCCACACCTTGAATACTGTGTCCAGTTCTGGTTGCCCCATCTCAAAAATGATACATTAGAATTGGAACAGGTACAGAGAAGTGCAATAAAAAATGATTAGGGCTATGCAACAGCTTCCATATGAGGACAGATTAAAGAGACTGGGACTGTTCATCTCAGAAAAGAGATGACTAAGGGGGGACATGATAGAGGTCTATAAAATCATGAACGGTGTGGAGAAAGTGAATAGGGAAGTGTTATTTACCCCTTCACATAACACAAGAACCAGTGGTCACCAATGAAATTAATAGACAAGTTTAAAACAAACATAATGTATTTCAAACAGCACACAGTTAACCTGTGCAATTCATTGCAAGGGAATGTTATGAAGGCAAAATATAATTGGGTTCAAAAAAGAATTAAATTCATGGAGGTCAGGTGCATCAATGGTTATTAGCCAAGATGGTCAGGGATGCAATCCCATGCTCCAGGTGTCCCAAAACCGCTGACTGCCAAAAGCTGGGACAGGACAACAGGGAATGGATCACTCAGTAACTGCCCTGTTCTGTTCCCTCCCTCAAAGCATCTGGCACCGACCACTGTCGGAAGACAGGATAGTGGGTTAGGTGGATGATGGACTGACCCACCATGGCCATTCTTATGTTCTTAAAAGGTGCTGAATTATTAAGTAACACAAAGTAAGGGGGAAAACAGTCAACTCAAACATTCTAAATACACCCTACCCCGATATAACGCTGTCCTTAGGAGCCAAAAAATCTTACCACGTTATAGGTGAAACCGCGTTATAACCAACTTGCTTTGATCAGCCGGAGTGCATAGCCCCGCCTCCCCGGAGCGCTGCTTTACCGCGTTGTATCCGAATTCATGTTATATTGGGTCGCGTTATATCGGGGTAGAGGTGTATGTCACAATGTCATATACTGCATTATCCATATCAGAGGTTCTCAAACTGTGGTCCGCGGACCACCAGTGGCCTGCAAGCTCCATGCAGGTGGTCTGTGGATAGTTCCCTCTAAGGTGCGCACCTGGGCGGCCACACATGAGAGAATGATGGGCCACCCACCCAATTAGTGGCGCCACGCAGGCATGGCTCCACTAATTATGTGCCCTAACCCTAGAGAAGACACACATGTAAGGTGAGGTGGTGACCTTGGGGGGGAATAGAGGGTAGATGGGAGGGAGCTGTGGGGTGAGAAGAAAAGATGGGAGGAATTTGGGACGTGAAGGGCTACAGTGGCCAGAGAAAGAGGTGACTTTCCCCAGCTCCAGGGCTGCGGCTGCCAGGGAGAGACACCTCCCCCCCCCCCTTCCCAGCCCCAGCTCGGGCCTGCCGCAGCAGGAGAGAGAGGGCACATCCATCGCATTAGAAAGGTAAAACTACTGATATTAAAATGTGAGTTGTGTGCTTTTATTTGTAGAACAAAAAAACGTTAATTATTATTAATTTTTTTTATATAGCACTTTTATCCAAAGTGCTTTACAACAGTTAGCTAATGGTATAAACAACATTTGGAAAGATCATTAAGTGGTCCGCCGAGACCCTCAGCAATTTTCAAGTGGTCCGCGAAAAAAAAAAGTTTGAGAAACACGCATCTATATCATTATTAGTCCTTGCAATGGTGAAATTCTGGTATTTATATTATTTACAGTCTAAGAACGTTCAGTTTCTGTTGTGCAGAAAAGCTGTTGCATTAACAACTTTTGGTTTCAGTTTAACTAGCAACTGCCGAGAAAATATTTTCTTCATTTGGGCTAGTTCATTCAAAGCTGAGAAACTGAGTTGAAAAAGCAGGAAAGCTTGTTTTCCTCTTCCAGTCTATGAATAAAAACCAGGTGGGAGAAGATGAGATCTAATTCTAAAAAACTTAAGGACATGGAGCTAGATTTTCAAAAGTATTTAGGCACCTAAAGGTGCAGTTAGATGCCAAGTGGAATTTTTCAAAAGCACCCAACTGCATCTTTAGGTGCCTAAATACCTTTGAAAATCTGGCCCACAGAGACCAGAAGCAATCTGTCAATTCACGAACTACAGTTAATACTTCCCTTAATTAATCAGTTAATTTTAAATGCAAAACATGTTTTGATAACCTTACATAAGAAAAAATATCCAACACATTTAAAGTAGTCTTATTTAACTAATAAAAGCAATTTTCAATGCTGTTTTTGTACATTTTAAATTGAACTGAATTCCCATCTACACACAACTTAACACAAATACCAAGAATAACTGTTATTCACCATTTTCTAACAATTAAAAAGGAAAAAATTAAGGATCTGAATAAATCTATGTTAAATTATATGAGTCCTTAAATAAGCATGTATAGATATAATGTATCCTCCTGGTTAACAGAAAGTACCAAATTTAATGTATGGGCTATATATGGTGTTCCATCAACATGTTTTTATACTTATACAAACCAATGAAAATGAATCTTTCTTTAGGAAAATAACTAAAAAGTAAATCCAAAACAAGATTAACATCAATTATTTAAATCAGCAAGCAAGAAATCTTGATTTAAATCATGATTAAAATAAGTGTTAAATCAATCCACCCTTCTGCTGCTTAATATATAAGGCCTGAAAACCTATTTGAGAGAGCTCCCCATTTCAGTCCAAGAAGAGCTATTGAAGACATCTGGTAGAACTTGCTTCCCAGATTTATTTTTGTTTTGTTCTGTCCCCACCTCCCATGTCCTTCCCCCCAGCAGGTTCCAAAAAAAGAGAGATTTTTTTCTGTTTTAAATTTAGTTTCCCTCAAGAAAAAATTAAATTTAAACAAGTCTCTTTCCATTCATGTCATCATCATAAAATCAATGTCAAAATTGCTCTTATGTTGCTTTTATCTGGAGAGTTTGCAATGGAGGAAGAGGAGACTAATTTGATTTCTTAAAGTAAGAGGAATCCAACAACTCATTAAAGAACTCGAAATATTTTTAACTCAGTGTTAAACCTGAAGAGGTGCTGGGTAAATTTTCACTCACTGCCGACATACCTATTTTCACTGAGCTACTGTCCTTATGGAAAGGGGAACTATGGCAGGATTGCATGGATAGAAGCTCAAATGTGAGATTTCTGCTCACTGCTATCCTTTCTACAACAGGAAGAGACTGAGACTCAATGAGTTCCCTCCTAAATCATGTACATCTCTTTACCTCCAGGAAGGTAGTGAAGACAAAACAACTGTCCCTCATTACAGGCTAAAGGCTAATGAAACACTTCCTCAGTGACAGAGTGAGAACTTCAAGGTAATCATGGAAGAACAAAAAAGAAGAGGAAGCAAAAAATACCTTCCTAGACTTCTGTTATTCTGCCATTTTGCAGCCCAACAGAGAGAACGTGTGCATGCTCCATACTATAGCACAAAGCAAAACTGGACAAAACTAAGAAATAAGCAAATGGGACTAAACAGTTGAAGCAGAGAAACAATATTCCCTGCTACAAGGCCCTACACTAAAAAAAATCTCTTCAAAGAAAAGAATTCTGGCAAGCAGCCTATACTATTGTATTTTCCAGAAGTGGAGGCAGACCAAAGTGTCTTGAGTTCAAATAAGTCATTAACATGATAGGCTATCCTATCTGCAGCTTATTACTACTTCATTTTTGCAACCATGTTATCAGCTAGCCAAATACTGTTTGCTTGTTTTCATAATTTTGAAATATTTTATTCAAATTCATACCTCAAAGCTCAAATAAAACAAATAAGCTTCAAAACAGGATTCATAATATTTGGACCTACATTGTACATCCTGTCATGTTTAAAACAGGATAGCTGATCATCCTAACAGAAGTAATGGTAGGCACAAGGTACACAGAACATAAGAGAGTAAATACAAATACACTGTTACCCAACTATCACACCAATAAACAATTTCTGTTGAATTTACAAATGTTGCACTAGCAATGTCATACTTTTCAGTGTGATAACGAAATTGACTTACCTATACTAGGTGGGCTGCCATAGTTTATTGGTGACTCTGGAGGCCTTCCACAATGTAATGCAGCAAGAGCAGATCCCTTCCACACAACATGTTTGCAACCTGTTTACAAAAAATTACAAACACATAAAATATAGCATGAAATCGTGAAAATGAAGTCTTTAAGCCCCCTTGTGAATTTTCATACTTTTATTTGTGCGAAGCAAAGACTGTCTTCCAGCTCCTAATAAGGTTTGCACTCCAGGGACACTCTGAGGAATTTCCTGCTCTAGAAGTGGTCCTAGTCGATGGCATATTTGCAGCAAGTGATCAGGTGCCAAGTGTCTATAATACTTCACCTATTATGTGACAGGGAAAAAAAAAGTGATAAAGGTGAAGTCAATCATTTTTGAAATATTTCTATTTTAGTCCTCATTTTCTTGTCAAGTTTGTTACCAAAATTCTTAATAGAAATGAGCAAACTAAAAAATAGTTTCACTTTAAACAAATGATCAAAACAGATAAAAACCTTTAAGATAGTAAATTTGCTCCAGCTGATCCTAATTAATTTCCTCTGTTCAAAGTACACCTCTACCCCGATATAACGCAACCCGATATAACACGAATTTGGATATAACAGTAAAGCAGCACTCCGGGGAGGTGGGGGGGGGGAGAGCAGCGGGGCTGCGTGCTCTGGCGGATCAAAGCAAGTTCAATATAACGTGGTTTCACCGATAACGTGGTAAGATTTTTTGGCTCCTGAGGACAGCGTTATATCGGGGTAGAGGTGTATACAAACTGTATTATAAGCACAGTTCATGTTTACTATTTTGTAACTTACATGAATGACGGAAAGCATAAAGCAGCTCTTAAATCATTATAGGTAATAGAAAAATGCAAAGAATTTGTCCAACCTCACGTTTAAATATGCTTCTGATCAATTTAAATTACTTTGAAACAAAATGAGAAAATAGTATTGTAAGATATCCTGATACTTATACAGTTCTTAGAAAAGTCACTCTATACTCAAAGAGTAAGTGCTGCAATTTTTGAGATGATTGACTGTATTTTTCATACATAAAAGAGAGAGCCAACCTCAATGTTAAGTGTAAAAAAAACAACTCAACCTTAACTATGCAGGCATGAACAGTATCTCCATAATTTAAACTTTTAAATATAACTTTCATGAGTCAAAAAAGTTTGAGTCAAATAAATTTTTAAAACCCTATTACACACTATTTATTCAAAGAAATCCATGCCTTTGGTGAAATAAGGAGGGAAAACCTTTTCAGGTTGATTTGGAGATCACTTATACTTCTTGTTAACTGTGAGGCACTGGCATCAAAGCAGATAGCTAACATCGATCACATATGCTTTATGACAGCTGTTTGATTTTAATATCAAACCAGTTTAAAACTGGATTTTGTTCAGAAAAAGCAAATCAAAGTCCTTATCTATTCTTTTGAACATCCTAGATTACAGGTCAGATTGGTCTTTTCAGTGCTACAGGATCAACTTCAAAATACACTTATGTAAGTGACCACAATTAAATCCCATTACAAACTGTTAATCCTGCTATTAACAAATAATGTCTTCCAATACATAAGCTACTGCTATCTTAAAGCATCTGAAAAATCAAGAAAAATTTCACAATTTTATTTGCTTCATATATACATTCTAAGAGTACCTAGTATATACTGGTTTATTCCTTGTTTCAATACTAATCCTGCATCATGGTTTTTATATTTATTTTGTGACAAAAAATCATCCTAGATTATCTCACAATGAAAGCTTGTGATGTTTTGTTATACTGTAACTGCAGAAGGCCATGACTGACATTTTAAGGAGGATGAACATTGCTCATATTCCTACACTGTACCCAATTAGAAGGAACATAGCTTATTCTTCTTCAAATGTTCTACTGTCTTGCTGACATGCTGTTATCATACTTTGCGTTGCAGTCATTTATTAACATACGAGTGCTGAACTATAAAACTGAGACTCTGGAAAAGCCTTATTTACACTAGAATTATTTTTTCACCATCTTAAGCTTCTGATGGAGGAAGGAATTTTTCTTTTGTTGTTCTCATTTGAGTCATCTGTCACACATTTATAAAAACCCTTGTGAATGACTTAAATTCTGACTAGATTTGAGGTGAGATATGACTTACAACATGCAATTTAAAAATCCATATTTAAAAGTTAGACAAGTAGCTATATAAAGCACAATAAAGCACTGCATAGATTCATCTCAAACTCATTTTTTAAAGTACAAATGACTTCAGACACACACAGTTAGTGTCAACAGGACAGCAAAAACACCAGAGAACTCAAGGACTTCCTTGCCATGATTCATTATTCTAACACACACACACACACACACACACTTTAATTAAAAAAAAAAAAAAGGTAGTTCTGAGACATCTCTGAACTTGTTTCAACAGAAAGGGTAACAGAACTCAAAGAAAATTATATTTTTGGGTGCTTTTTAAATGCTACACATCCTTGCCTATGAGCAACATTTAGAGATGGGTGCAGCTGGTTCTAGCTAGGGATCCTAATCTTGTTTCCTTCTTTTATTCCCTTTTCTCCCTTCCAGGGACTGTACCCGGACAGTAAGTAAATAATGCCCACTGTGCAGCTGCATTTGAGATCAAATACTTTCCACTGGCGATGAAAGTCAAATCTGAACCTATGTCTCCAGAGAAGAAATACTAATACAGTATACTAAATTACCGATTAGCCAACTCCCATCAGAATACAGTTTGTTTAAAAGTATTATTTTACTCAGTTAAGCACCCGGGCACTCCTTAACTTCAACAGCCTGAAAAAAAAAAAAAAAAAAAAACTGAAGTAGATAGAAGATTGAAGCTTGGAGTCCAAGGTCAGCCTTGAAACATACCTAAGCTCCAGTCATCTCCTTTGTGTGATTTTTGTCATGTAACTGTATCTGTTTTATAAACCACTATAAACAAAAACAAGGTCTATACATGTTTGATTCTAAAAGTGACATTTCAGAAGTACTTTAGAAAATGAAGACTATTTGTATTAATCTTGGCTCTAGTCACTTCAAGGTGGTGCTGTACATTCTGCAAATACACCTCATGTCCACCATGCAAATTCCCTTTTACTCTAAATCCCAGACCTCTTTTGTGCAAAGACAGTTAATCATGCCAAATTAGGTTGCAGTTTTGTGCTGTAGATAGATGTCAGCTAAGGAATAATCATTTGTATTGGTTACCAAAACAGTATTTTAACATAGTTCTCAGACAAACTAGTGTAATATTAGACACCTAAGTCAGAAGTCTCCTAAAACCAGGGTTCTCAACCTGTTTCTCTCAGAGGCACCCCTCAACATGCTATACAAACTCCAGAGGAGCGGACAGGGGCCTCGTGGCAGGGGCCTGGACATAAGCCTAGTTTGACTTCTTTTGGGGGGGGGGGGGGGGAGAGAGAACAGGGACCAGCAGGGCTCGAGCCACCTCCGTATGGCAGGGTCCAGGGAGGGAGGGCCACCTCCACCCCCAATTCACCCCAGCAGACCACCCAGCCTGTCTGGGTTGGAGGAGGGGTGGAGGCGCAATCAAAAATTATAACTCAAAGGTGAGGAGCTTAGCTCAAAAAGTTTGAAAACAGCTTAGGGTGCAGGGAGGGCGGTAGCTGGGCTGTGTGCAGGCAGGGGGGTGGCTAGGGGCTGTGTGGGCAGGAAGGTAGCTGGGGCTGTGTGCAGGCGGCAGGTAGCTAGAGCTGTGTGCAGGCAGGAAGGTAGCTCAGGGTGCAGGGAGGGGGTAGCTAGGACTGTGTGCAGGCATGGGACAGGTCAGAGTGCAGGAAGGGGCGTAGCTGGGGCTGTGTGCAGGCAGGGGGGTAGCTCAGGGTGCAGGGAGGGCATAGCTCAGGGTATAGGGAGAGGGGTATTAGGGGCTGTGTGCTGGGAGGGCTCCCCTGTGGTCCCTGTTCCCAGAGGTGTCTGCCAGCCACGGAGCTGGGTCTCCCCACCCAGGCAGCTCCTACCAGCTGCCTCTGTGGGAGCAAAGGGGGCTGCAAGCTGAGGAGGAGCTTCAACCCAGGGCACCAGCAGGAGACGAGGGAACGCTGCCGCTGCCTGCTCCATGGCACCAGCCACAGCAGCAGCTGCCCTGCACTGCCCAGTTCCAGCTTCCCGCCTCCAACCTGGTCAGGGAGCAGGGAGAGGAGATGAGGGAGAGGAAGGTGTGGAGCTGCCTCCTGGGACTGCTGTGCTCTTGCGCTGCAGTTTGGGAGGTGGGAGGGGGCAACACCCTCCATGTCCCCAACTCTGCCCATGGGCTTCTGCCCCAAAAGGAGCACCAGGGCTCGGGGCTTCAGCCCCGCGCAGGGGCGGGGGAGGGGGGCCCACGCCAGGCATCAGGGCTTCAGCCCCGTGGGGGGCACTAGGGCTTGGACTCTGTTTCAGCCATGGGGCCCACGGCCAACCTTGAAAGGGCTCGCGGACCCCCAGTTGAGAACCGCTGTTCTAAAAGATCTTAAAGGGACACTGTTTATTTTAACTTTTTCAAATTGTCTAGAGTTTATTAAAATTAGTTTGAAGCCCTAAATGTGCCAATGAGTTCCTCTGTGAATTTCTGCAGTTTTACAATCACCTTTTTTTGTCCCTTATAGTTGAATGCAAGATCTACATAAACAGCAGAAACTATTTAAATGGAAAAACAGCAAAATGGACCACACACTAATGCTGTCAAATGTACAAGATAAACATTCTCTTTCATATTTATTTCAATTATAATATTAGTGTTATTTATAACAAGACAAATGTGATTTGTAAATTGGCATCCTTTTAAAATATGAAGAATTTAAATCATATTTGGACTACTTTTTCCTTCTCATCTTATAAAAGAATGGAAGTGGGAGTTCCTGTAACCACTTCCTTTCCCCTCAGGTGTAAGCTTATAATTACAGGAATTAGCATTACTTAGGAAGAGTAGCTGAGGGAACAAAATTTGTAGTGGGAGCATATATTGGGACTCTTTGCTTTGCAAATTGGGAAAAGGAGTAGAAAAATGCAACCAAAGAGCCTGGATGTGGGGGGGTCTGACACAGACTGATGGGTTAGGGGAGTAAATGAGTCAAACGCAAAGAAGTAGGTGGATCAGAAAGTGAAAACCATGGAAGGGAGGTCAGAGATGGAAGCGAGAGGTTGAGTTGTCTTCTAAGAGAAAGAGGTTTATGGAGTGGGAGTCTTAAAAAAAAAAAAGTGTGACTGCGCAGAAGACAGCAAGAAAATGAAGAGTATTAAATGAAGAATGGCAGCAGTAAAAGAGGAATTTAAGGGACCAATTCTTTGTGAAGACTAAGTGAGAGTAACTAGTAAGGAGGGGAA